TAACATTAATAATAAATATTATTAGTATAATCTACTTTATTTCTCTGTTTCTTTCTATTTTACACTTTTTTTATTTCTACAAAAACATTGGAGTTTATTGAAGTTTTCTGCTCCTTTGTTTACATTCCGTTCCGTTCTGTTCCATCTTTAAATTCACAGAACAAAAGGCACAATCCATGCACAACGACAAATATAAAACAGACCATTAAAAAAGACCAGTCGACCACAACAAAGCAGTCACAAAGGCACAGCAAAGGAGCCTATCCAAGGGATGCCACAAATCAAAGGCGTTCCACAAAACATCAAACATCAATCATTGAAGGATTAAACATTAACGACTTTAAATAAATGACTTGAACCAAGGGATACAAAGCAGTTGAAAGACGTATTGGCTTTGCTAACTGTGATGTGTAATGCTAATACTATCACTGTCGGCAAGTGACCTTTAGAGGTCATCAATCCACTGATGCAGCATCAGAAAAAGTACAATTAATTTATAAAGTATAATGTTAAAGAACCCATGAAAACTAAAGAGCCATAAAGAACCCAAATGTGAGGATGTTTCTGTTTTTCCACGGCGTCCATTCGTTTGTTTGTTTGTTTGTTTGTGTTATTTCCTGTCGCCCAAATGAAATCAGGATGAAACATGGCTGCTCTAATATTAGAGTCTGTTGGTCCTGTGACTGAGATGTTACAGTGTGATTGACATCCACTCCTCTCTGTGTGTGTGTGTGTGTGTGTGTGTGTATACAAGTGTGTGGGATGAGAAGCTGTATCTACATTTGGAGCCCATGCCCCCCCCCACCCACACAGACAGACATACACAGGATCAAAGCTTTTGCAGCTGTTACAGATATTTCCCCTGAGGTTATAGAAATTCATCAACAGAAACATTCAGGGCGTGTTGCACAGCATGCTGGGTAAAATGGATGTGAAACTAGCCGGTGTTTTTCCAACAGTTTTCTGCAGCGTCACTAATAAAACATACACAGGATCAAAGCTTTTGCAGCTGTTACAGATATTTCCCCTGAGGTTATAGAAATTCATCAACAGAAACATTCAGGGCGTGTTGCACAGCATGCTGGGTAAAATGGATGTGAAACTAGCCGGTGTTTTTCCAACAGTTTTCTGCAGCGTCACTAATAAAACATCTTTCATTTGACTTTCATCCAGTCCGTCCGACCTGAAACCTGTTGACTCACGGGCTGAGTGCGTCTGCCGCCCCTCGTCTTGAGCACTCCCCTGACGTTTGCTCTCAAACGGTCACAGATGTGCAGCAGAGGGAGTTTATGCTGCGATACTTCCTTCTATGACCAAACGCTGCCTCACGTGGTTCCTGACAGGATTACGCTGCTCACAGGATTATTAATATTTTTTGTGAATGGCAGCCATAAGAAACATGACTAATCTGTGGATAAGCTGACAGGAAGCTGCGTCCTTCATTTCCTCCTCCTTCTCCTTCACACGCAGCAGAAGAATGGAGCATTTCCTCTGCTTTCCTCAGCGAGCCGTGGATGTCGTGGCGGGTTTATGGCATGTGGCCACAGGGATGGCTGACGTGGAGAGGAGAGGAGAGCTGTGGTCTGCTCCTCCTCCTCCTTGTCCTTCTTCTTCCACAACAATATGCCAAAGCCTTCATTCAGCGTCCACATTCTGAGAGTCAATCTTGTCCAATCTGTCCACACCCATTACTCCTCAGCACAGTGTGACAACATGCAGGTCAGAGACGACACAGAGCAGATCTGCCTCTGGTTCTGAGTCACGTCGTGGTGAAAACTGTAGACCGAGTTAGAACATGTTCAAAAACTGAGGAGGTTTTTGGCCTATCAGTGATGTTGACATCGAGCGGTTGTCCTGCTAGTCAAAAAGAGTCCTTCTCATTGGACCAAATGATCATCATTGAGAAGAGTTTATGAGTCAGAACCAATGAACTTCTTTCTAAATCAGTACAATAAACCTGGTCTGCTTCAAACAGGTGTGAACACTCATCCAAACTGGACTCAGAAACTTGGGTTCCATTTCTCAGGACTGTCCCAGTGTGAATGAAATGTCAATCAAGTTCATCACATGATACAGTTCTGGTCCACGACCTGGTCGTCACCTTCAGCACCCAATGGTTTTTATGGTTGGACGGACTATTTCAGAACAGGGAAATCATTTTAACTGTTACCTTTGTTGTGTTTGGATTATCTAGTTTGTTCAAGGCCCTGAATTGGGAGAAAAAGACCTTGAACATGATTTCATCTCTTACTGAATAATTATTGAAATAAAAAAAGTGAATTTTCCTCAGTTTATTTCAATTGTTTTTCAAACCTAACATTTCAGGATGACTATTGGCAGACAGTCAAAAAGGTTTGTAGGCCAAAAGCCACAGTTCCGGGCTACGCTGTGAGGCGCTGACCCGGTTCCAAGAACCATAACGTCAGCATGACCGGGAAAGCTGGAGAAGCTGAGGGGAGTCCACGTCTCATGATTACTTCCACACACACGAACCACCAAAAAAAAAGTGAAGAAAGTGACGGAGTGAGGCTGCAGATTTAAAGGAAAACAAAGTGATCGACTGCTGTTTGGGAATTAAACGTCTTCATTTTTTCTGTCTTTACGACACAATAGAGAACTGTTTCAGGAAAGGAAGCCAGCGCCGCTCCTATTGTGAGCCACAGAACAGAGAGGCTTTGAACATGTCATGTCTTGGAGAGCCTCGACTGCAGCACTCCAGACTGAGTGAGACGGAGCTGGAGTTTCAGCTGTAGGAAATGAACACTTCTTTATCTGTGATCTAATTTGCTGAGATTCCTTTGATCATTTCTGAGTTAGTTACTTTAACAACTTTTAACTAACTCAGTGGCTTCACCATCATCATCTGAGGGCTGTGTGGTCTGGGTCTATGCTAACGTCTGACCCTAAGACAAGAACCAGGTCTTTGGTTTTGGACAGGAAATCAGGTCAGGAAGGATATCAGTGTAGATGGGCTTTGTATTTGTATTTAGTTTGTTGCAGGATTCATTGGTTCACGTCGACTGTTGACAAATCCACAGGTCTGATGACCTCACATCTCAGTCCTCCCTCTTATCTCACTGTCCTTTTAAGTGTCTCTGTTTTGTTTCTTTTTCAGAAAAAGAAGTCAGAGAGCAGGATGGGTGAGTTTATCCCACGCTCCGGACGTT